GAGCAACCAACGCAGACCTATCAGCCGGAATCCTGTAGTTGTTCGTATAGTGTCGACAACTTTTGTGAAGGTTGATGTTAGCCATGTTGATCATCGTGATTGAATCTCCCATGGTTTTCTCAAAAACTTTAACCAAATACACGATACCAAATTGTATTTAATATTATGTCATAATAATCATACTGTTCTTATAATTTTGTCCAAAACAGAGGACAAACTGTGTTTCACATTATCCAATAACAATTATTTCGATTGTACATTGAGTTCAAATATATTATGGAGTTTATACTACCTATTTGAATAAACTTAATTTTTTTTCATTTTCCCTGAAGTCTGCAAACTACAGTGGTAGACCACTTTTTGAGGATATACGGTTATTTATTTTTAAAACTATGACATCAGATATAAAAGTTTAATATTCTAAGAATATGGTTAGTTTTTACTTTGGAAAGTGTACTATATTTTAGTATTTTAATGATATTATGAACACGACGAAATATTCATTAAGATGGAGTAGTCTTTTATTAATCGATTGCACTTTGGATTAGTTGGGGCCGCCCCCACACGAACCACCTGTTAAGCGGGGCACATTATATTTTTGAAGAAATAAACAATATAAAAAAATTTTAAAATTGAATTCAATGATATAATATCAATGTATAAGAAAAACGATTCTGAGAGGAGATGGTTTGTCAGTCTGGATATTTTATATTGTTATTATTTATTATATCATGTAGGTAAGTTGAATTAATATTATAATATCATTATTTTTATTCATTTCTATGGTGATACACAAAGCGTTAGAAATTAAAATCCATTTTTAGCGGTTTTTCGTTATTTGTCCGTGGTTTTTCTTAAATAAAACACTCTATTGCGAAAATTGGTTAGCTCAAAGCGGGGAGCTCATCCCGAAACAGTTAGAATCTCGGCACTAGCTCTATGTTTCTCGGTGGCTGAATATGCATTCCCGGTGTGGGGAAGATCAACACACACTAAACAAATTGATACTGCTTTAAATGAAACGGTTCGCATTATAACAGGATGCTTAAAGCCAACACCAGTAGACAAATTATACCTTCTAGCAGGAATAGCTCCGCCACATATACGCAGACAAATTGCAAGTGACATAGAACGGACGAAACGGATCACGGATGAAAGGCACCCGATGTATAACACACAAGTGGAAGGATTCCGACTAAAATCAAGAAAGAGCTTTCTAAAATGCACTAAGAAATTAGAAGATGACCCACAGACATCAAGATTAAAGTTATGGGAGGTAGAGAGCAAGCAAAAAGTTGAATAGAAGTTACCCCCGGGACATAACAATAAATGGATGGTCTGGAGAACACTAAATCACCTACGTACAGGAGTCGGTCGTTCGAGGGAGAACCTAAAAAAATGGGGAATAAGCAATGGGAATGAAGACACGAGCTGTATATTCGGAGAAGTCCAGACAATGTCGCACCTCCTAAACTGCAATGAATGTCCAATCAAATGTAACGTAACAGACTTACAAGACGCAAATAGAGTTATAAAGGTGGCAGAATTTTGGAGCGATAAAATTTAAAAATTTGAAAACACAACTCATACGTTACCTTTTAGAACCACCCATTGTTACCAAATATAATTACCATTATTTACTAAGTACATTATTCCATATGTTATTTTATTTTATTTTATGTATACCAGTTGACTTTTTGACTAATTGACTAATTGATATTATGTTTTGTTATTTATAGTTTATATGTAAGGATGTTTACCTATATATTTAATTACCTGTAAAATGACCTGTCATAACCCCGACTCGTAAAAAAAAAAAATCTCCATTCTAACTAGAATAATCTATATTATAGAGATATTTAATATTATTAATTCTACAAAAAAGTTATTATTTATCTATATATATTAGATTCCAAGCAGAGTGATAAAGGAATTTGTTTTACAATTATGTATATTTTTGTGTGTGTGTCTTTCCGGTGTTATACCTTTTGGATCTGTAAAAAGCATTTGTATTTCTATCTGATCTTTGATAATGATGGTGCTTTTTAGTTTTTGGTAAAAAACCTATTTTGTACTTTGGAAAATGTTAAAAATAAAAAGTTCGTATTACTTTACTATAAACTCAATATAACAGAAGAAAAATATAATAATATATTATATTAATATTCCCAGAAAAACCGGGATATTTATTCGAAACAAGTTTTTCACAAAATCGATTTAATATAACAAAAAATGATTAGCTGTTAATCAAAATATGTTGTTCTTACTGGAATTCGATGAAAATATCGAAAACCGATTACAACTTTTTTACAAGCTTTTAAAGTTATGATTTGTGTACTCAATTCATCAAAATGAATATGGAAAATGAAATAAAAATTTTACAAATAATTTATAATTTATTAATAACTACTATGATTCTTTGGATACGTTTGAAATTCAAATGTTGATGAAATTAAATATTAAAAAGTCAACCATCGATTTTGACGAATTACATTTTTAACTCAGAATCTGCCACTGCTTGTAACAATAGTTTTTGGTTTCCACGTATTTTTTAGCTGTTAAATAGATATTTTTATGGCTAGTATATTTGTATATATTTTAATTTTTATAAGTTATTTTGGTTAAAAGTGAAAACAGATTATAGAAAATACACTGAGTAAGTCATGAATTTTGATGTTAGTAATTTCTTTAAAATATTTAAACTTTAAAGTAATAGATAAAACTAGTTATAAAAAACTAGCCACTTTCTTGTGCTAAAAAGGACAAGGCCTGTTTTGATTTTTAACACACAACACGTTGTAACGGCGTTAAGTACAGGCAATATAGGTACAACGTTTAAGTATTACATTTTAATATTATTTATATAATATTAGTGTAGGTACCTATAGGCTAAAGATACTACAATATTTAAACGATTATCTGGATTTAAGAAGTATTCCTAGTTCCTTTATAGACTCTTCTCAACAATGTTCAAAATCCGTCTCTAATTTATTATGTTATTTCTTTCAGTGTTCTCTATAATATGTTTAAATTGTATTGATAGATGGTAGACAAATCACTTTTTGTGGTACTATGTTTAGAAATATGATTACAATTTTGAATCTGGAATGTAAATGTTTAATCTAAAGACTTTAATAATTTACATTCATTGAAGTACTTATTATACTCGTACATTTTTTATAAATTAAGAAATTTGATTTTAATATTTGTATAAAATTATAAAAACTAGATCAAATCAATTTAGATTATAATCATATTAGTCACTACTGTTATAATATCATAAAGCCCCTATCATATTAGTCCCAATATCTTTTAAACCTATATTATCGTGGACTATATATCTATATAGTTAATAAATCAAAAAGTACTAAATTAAATTTTGATTTCTGTACATTAAAATTTTTAGTAAAATTACCTGCCAAACCATTTACTGTATAAAAGAAGTACAGCTATGTTTATTCATATATCATATCTGCAAGAGATCCTTGCCAGTACCCCTAACCACCATAAACTGAAGTTCAGCCAACCATACCTGCTAGAAAAGGAAACACTTCTTCTAACAATTTCCCATGTTAAATCCTACACAAATAACATGCAGAGTTAATTTTAAGTCAATATCAGAACCAATTTCCCAACTCAAGTTAATTTAACCTGCAATACCAGATTATATGAGGTATCCGAAGTATCTTAGTAGAACAAAGAATATACATATAAATAAACGAATTTTTATGGAACCAAAGTCCTATAGCGACAACTGTTGGTTTTTGTATGCGTTCAAAGAAAATCGCCTCAATGTGTGTAGTGTGTATGGTGTACCTACCAATTTATAATTGTATGACACCATTGGCATCTGTACATTGTTGGTGTGAAATCAGAAAAAAAATTGTTTTATAAATATTATATATAATACAAAATATCAATATTATAAATTGCATAGTTCAAATTTGTATAATCCATCGATATTATACATAACATTTTAAACTTATAAATAATTACATTATATTATAATTCCTATTGAAGTATAATAGTATTATAAGTGTAATTAATTTTATCGATATTTTTGATTAATTTTTTTTGTTTTTTTAAATTATACAATAATAAATGAACGATACCTCTGTATGAAAGCAACGATAAAATACAATAATATATACTTAAAACTATTCGACGTGATAAATAAAATGCATAATATCCTGATACAACGTAATACAAAGACAAAATAATAATGTTATGTGGCATAAATTAATATAACTATTATTCTTAGGTCTACATACTTATGTCTAACGTAATATTAAGCAATAATTAGAAAAACAAATTGTGCATATCACTAAGCCATACAAAGATCCATAGTATAGAATATAAGATAAATTATTTTGACATGATTCATCCCAAATTAAGTGATTCTTAAGATTTTCCCTACATGCTATTTTATAATTTAGGTAAATAGCTAGGTGAAAATAATGTGATAATTGTATTACACCTTGCTATGATAAACTAAAGACTAAAACACAACGCGCAGCTTTATGTATGAGCGTACCGATATTATAAACAAAACAATAATATAATGCATAAAATATATTATGTAACAATATACGCAAGGTATTTGTTGGCTAATTCGATTCTTAATAACAATATTAAATATAATAATGGCCCTAATTTCTCGCCATGGCATTTCAATATATATATTTTAATTACATTATTATAGTTTATAATATATACGTTACGTTACCTACCTACCTATCAACTAAAATATTATTTAAATAAGATCTAGGTACGCAATATTATAATAATAATACGTTCTGATACAATGTATAATAATAATAATAATAATAATAATCAAGCGATTAATTTATTAAAAGCGTGCTCTGTATATAATATTAGGACTTAACGTTAAACCGCGTACTAAATTTAGCGCGTTTACAATCATACCGAGCTCGTAACCCTAACTCGTAGATGTATCGTATATAATAGTCGCGTATACATAATAATATTATAGTAGGTACCTAAATAGATGGAGGCGACGACTTGAATGCCGGTCGCGGGACGTGGACGTACAGTGGGACTGCGTTCTGTAAATACAATAATAAAAATAGTCTTCTAAAAAAAAAAAAAAAAACACACACAATAAAAAACAAAACCAGACGAATACGGACAAACCGGATGGGTCCTCGTCGGTGACCATACAACATACAGAGTGATATAGACGTCGTCATCGCCGTGATAGTGCGTGCGAGTGGTATATTAATAATATTCTGGTATAGTACATTATAGTGTGTATTAAAGTTGAGATATTTTTTTATAATTTTGTGATAACGACTAAGTGTGCGACTAGTGGAAAGCATTATGGTGCGGTACTGTACGAGATGGATGTAAATGGTAAACATATTATAATAATAATGTTAGGTGATGATTTTTATTTTAAATAAATAAGTGCTTAATTTTGGAAATGTGGAGTCGTGGAGGGACAAAATATTTTGGGGTGCCCTGATTAATTTTTCCGAATGAAATTCCCAGAAAGGAACAACTAGGATTAGTTTTGCAATAATAAATTTTGTGTCAAAAATATTATACAATATACATAAATTCAAAATTAAATTAAACTTTATACTTGAATGTGAATAAAATTATGATCAATAACAAGCAATGATAATATTCCATGTGTTGTCATCACTGATATTTATAGAATTTATAATGTTATAACATAAATAAAATATTTGTTCAAGAGACAGTGATGATCGTAATTATTGACTTTCGCATTGCGATATCATTTCGGTGCCTGCTGCGGTACCTAGTCAGTTATTATGCTAATATTGGTAATAAATTGTGTTTTGCATATCGTGTTGGTGATGTTTTATAATATATATATATATATATTTTAGTCTATAGTCTATACTACAGGAACGAAAATAATTGCCAGTGTATGTGTTTTTTAACTATATGCAATAACTACTGTATAATATTGTTTTGCAGTTTTCAAACGATTGTGTAGCACCGATATAGTTACAAAACTATTAAAATAGGACGTCGCCGCTCGGCTGCCACAGTCGTCTTACCACTTGCTCCACGGCTTCCGGCCAACCCACCGGGCCTTGATAATGACGGCGATCATCACCACCGGAGCGTTGGTATTTCCGGAAGTAACAGCCTGTTGACGCCGTGCACGCGGAGTTCCGCGTCGACGACGGCTCCCGGGTCGCTCGGTGGTCCCATCCGACAGCTTCCGGCCTGGTGGTTCTCAGGTCTGGTGTTTCGGCGCATCCAAACTCCAGGTCCTCACAGCCCATCGCTGATTGTCACGGACAGCGGAGTTGCAGTCACACTGCGCAAGGGGGTGAGAACGATCATGACTTGCTATTTTCATGGTTCACGGACGGAAGACATTTTTTTTTTTCAAAGAAATCGCAAACTAATGTTTCGACGGTTGTGAAACGATCGCAACAGCCGATTATGTTCGTTGACAGAAGTCGACTGGAGCTGACGAAAAGCGTTCCGGTGGTACTACTTAACATTTATATTATTTTAAACGCGTTCGGTTGTTTGTCGGAAAAGTGAATAAGTACCTACGCGCTTTTCTTCAAACTTCATCTGATATGAAATTCTCGATGCACACCATCGCCGTGTATACATATAATATTATAAAGTACTACGTCTACGTGTAGGTGCATGATGTGTGATGAGCCGAGAGCGATTTTGCGTAGTTTCCGTACACAAAGTTTTAACCGGCGTCCTATATATATCGTACACGTCATGTATAATGTATGTGCAAGCATTATTAAAGGATTTACGTCTACAAACTTTTTTTTTTAACATTGGACGAATCGTTTAATAATATTTTATAAGTTATGTATAATATATTATACAGCACCGTAATCGTTCGTATATTATGTTTAGTGCATCTTAAATATTTTATATAATACCGGCGTAGTGGTGCAGTAAGTACAATACTGAAAATTAAGATACCGATAATGCCGTTATACCATGTTTACTTAACATAAATGTATAAATGTATTGTGTACATAAATATATTATAACGAGTGGTATATGTTTACCACGTGAAGCGTAGTAAGTCGTCCGAAATCTAATTTCTATACCTAACGTTGAAAATAATTTTAAACCGATCTTGGGGTCAGCTGGCGGCATTGACATCAAAAGTAAATATATGGCGATGTCCCAATATGATGTACTAACATGCGTGATGTGGGATTAACTTATAATGACGACCAGCGACGAGAAGACAATAACTTTACTAATAATAATTACTCTTCACGTCGAATACTTATTGCAATAAATAATAATATACATGACTATTAAGATCATATTATTAAAACCTTTATATTGACCATAATAGTAGACATTGGAAGTGCATCAGAAAATTGCACTAAGAATAGCGAGACTCACATTGAGTTAAATATATTGTCTTAATAAAAAAAAACACTAATACGTAGCCACGTAGGTACCCGCCTTTTTAATGTCTTAAGTTATAATTTTTGTATTATTTTTTACCAAACTGCTCATTAGTAGTTCTTTCAGTATACTTATAATACTTCTTATTTTTATTACATTCGAAAATTGAATACAATAATAATATTTATATTGTTAAAAATACAGAGTAGGTATGATTCATCTCCCTGCAAGCTAGTAGCTTTATACTGACAAAAAGAACAATATGTGCTATGTATTGAATGTATATCAAATCAAAACTTCGATAGGTAGCAAAAATCCATATGTGATTTAAATAGTATAGCAACATTATGGTTCCAAATAATACTATCAATAATGCCTATATAAAAAAACGACCGAAAACGAATTTTTTAGTAAGATATATTTACGAGTGTAGCTATAGTGTGCTGCGAGCAGTTGTTATCGTCGTGGAACTATATCGTGGACTTTATTAAATTTAGGCGACCAAGTCCCACGCGGAAAATCAAAAGACCAACATAAGTATAAGTATATGTAATCCACTTCGAGACGAAAACAATTACATCTATTAAATGTTCAATCAGAGAATCGCAAACTCAATATATTTTCTTTTAAACTTAATATCGATATAATATCATACATAAGGTTAAGCGCCAAAACGGAGAAAAATAGGCAATCGTTATGGTTTGTGAGCCTCTATAATTCAATAGTGCACAAACTTTCGGACGATTGTCTCCAGGTGGTTTTGGTCGAGAGGGGTTGAGAGGGTGGCCGGACAACGCTTTCCCCGACCTCGCGAGGTTTGTTGCTGTCGTCGTCGTGTTTTCGAATATTCCAGCCTTTGTCCAGAATTCGTCCCCGTTAGTATAGTATTATAAGGCCGTTCGGAAGAAAGAGGAAAAAAGCCGTCTCAAACAAGCGGCCGAGCGTTGGTCGTGTCCGGCGTGGTAGTGACTTCCGGTAGCTCCTATACAATGGAGCATTTACGGCGAGGGTGTTCTACACGCTTTCCCTTCCGTTCCGCGTTCCACCAGCACTAATAAAACAAAGGATAAACTTTCTCCCGAAATCCCTAGGCCTGTGCATAGTCCATGTACACATGCCATAGTCCATAGAGCTTTTCGCGATGCGGTTCGGATCGCACGGACAAAAATAAATTAAATACGTCCAGCCCAGCGATTCGATAATAAAACAAAAACCTAGTTTAGTATATTGTTTCTTATATTATAAAGGCTGTATAGTCATGTTAATGCACTCCAGGCAGGACTGTAGGAAACTCAGAGATGTAAATGCGCGAAGTATTTATTTATTTATTTATTTATTTATTGGAATATACGGGCTAGGCCCTTTTTTTACATAGAAAACTGGTAATAAAATGGTTTACAAAGAAAGAAAAGTAAATAGAAGATGAAAAAAAATAACAAAAAATAATAATATTAATAACAATAATATTAAAAATATAAATATGCATTTCAATAATAATAAATATGACAGAGCTAATTAAAAGAGAAAGTGGGGTCCAGATTGGCATTATGCATCATACGCCTTAAAGGCTCATTTAGTAAGTAGTTGGTGGAACAAAAAGGGACATGAAATGGAGTAATGGAGCGGGTGGAGCGTTGGGGTACTTTAAAATTAATTAAGGATAGTAAAGTTGGAGAATCAACACTACCATCTAACAGTCCATTCAAGAACTTGCTACCCATAATGCGCCTGCGCTCTGCCAGCGAGGCTAGATTAAGCTGAATAGCAACTGGGGAATAATCATGAGGTGGAGATTTGATGCCTAACAGGAAGCTTGTAAATCGCAAGAACCTGCGCTGTACCCTTTCGACCTGGCAAGCATTGTCGGCAGTATGGGGATTCCAAACAATGGCACCATATTCAATAATTGGCCGGACTAACGAACAGTATAAAACTTTCAATGACGAAGTTAGGTTAAGGTCCTTTGACAATCTCATTATTATACCCAACATTCTTAGAGCTTTGCAACAAGCCATTTCAATATGAAGGCCCGGGTCAAGGTTACTGGAGAGTTTGAACCCAAGATCCATCGTAAATCCATCACAGCGAGAAATTATTGAATCATTGATATGATAGGAGAACGTTAATGGAGAGCGGGTTCTAGTAAACGTCATGGCTTTACACTTACCTAGGTTCAGTGACAAACCTAATTTATCAAAAAGAGCAACAAATCTATCTAAATCACTTTGTAGATTAAGACTGTCTTCAATGCAGTTTATTTTCATAAAAAGCTTGATGTCGTCCGCGAAACATAAAACTTGACAGTGTTTTATTGTTTTGCTAAGGCTGTTGATGAAGATGGAAAAGAGCAAAGGGGACAGGTGTCCACCTTGGGGAACACCGGAGGGGGTAAAGAACACATTAGATTTAACATTGGGTAGTTTAACCCATTGGTATCTGTTATCTAGGTAGGATTTAAGCCAAGACAATAGCGGCTCACCAGTGCCACAATCTTTTAGAATTTTCACTAAGACAGCATGGTTCACGGTATCAAAGGCCTTATTAAAATCCGTGTAAATAACGTCCACCTGTGAATGATGTTGGAAGGCGTTGAAACAATAATTATGAAAAATTAGGCTGTTAGTGATAGTAGAACGACCAGGGCGGAAACCATGTTGCTCTTCCATAATAATATTATTGAATGATCTAAGAATATCCTTTTGGACCAATGACTCAAACATTTTGGCAATATGCAATAAAATTGAGATGGGTCTATAGTTGGAGACATCAGTTGGGCATCCGGACTTCAGAATTGGCGTTATAGATCCCAGTTTAAGAATGTGTGGAAAGATGCCTTCATCAAGTGATCGCCTAAGAAGAATCCAAAGGGGGTAAGATATAATGGATTTCAGCTTGTAAAGAAATACACCAGGTAGGCCATCCGGACCGACAGATTTGTTACAATGTAGTTCAGATAATTTTTGGTAGACATCATCTAAGGTTAAAGAGACGTTGTTTGGCAGGTCAAAAGAGTAAATGTCTGGACTTTCAAAGTCACATGGAATCACCTTGGAAGAATAAACTGAGGAAAAGTAGGAAGAAAACATCTCAGCTGACTCGTGCTCGTTACAGGAGGATGTGCCATTAAGAGAAACAACTTTAGGGATATCCTTGTGATTGGATCTACTATTGTTCATGAATTGCCAGGATTTTTTTGGGTTACTTTTTAAGGAGTAATCTGCTTGTTTGGCATAGTCGAGAAAACATTTTTTTGAAAGGTATTTGAATTTAGCACGGAGAAAGGAGAATTCTTTGTAATCATGACTGCTTAGAGATGACTTGAATCTTACGTGGGCCGTTTTCTTTAACGCAACAATTTGTGTCAATTCATGGGAATACCAAGGTGGATATGTCGATTTGCGGAATGTACACTTAGGGACAAAATCAAGTATAGATTGGTGCAGAGCGTCGTAAAAAGTGTTGAACGCCGAATCAATATCAAGAGGATGAAAGGTAGAATACCAGTCAAAAGATCCCAAGAAAGAACTGATTTTTAAATAATCTGCTTTATTAAAATTAAAAAATGATTGGCTACGGTCACATGGTATACTACTAGAACTATTGGACAGAGATATGCAAAGTGCAGGGTGATATGAATCGGTAGGAACAGTCGGTTCGAGTGATTTATTGACTATGAGAAATTTGTTTGAGGTAAACACAAGATCTAAAAGAGATCCATGGGCATTAAAGGAATTGTTCATTTGATAGAAGGAATGAGTTGCAAATAATTCGGGAATACGGGGAGCTCTAGTAAATGAGGAGTAAGAATATAATAACCCACTATCGTCATTATTCCAAATAATTTCGGGTAAGTTATAGTCACCGCAAATAATAGTAGTATGGTTGATATATTTATTAATTAAATTATTTACTGAACTAGCATGGGATTCATACAGTTGAATGGACGATAAAGGAGGAATATATACACCACCAACTAAATAACTTGAAGTGCCTATAGAGAAATTAACAAAAATCTGTTCGACATTTAAGCAGCTTGTTTTAATTAAATGAGATGAAATATCTTTACGAATGCCAATAAGAACACCACCCCCCCCCCCCCCCCCGTAGACAGTTGCTTGTTAAAGAGCATCTGTCAAATCTATAAATATTGTAATTAATGAGACCAAGCTCACAATCTAAAAAGTTGGCACTTAACCATGTTTCTGTTAAAACAATAAAGGTATAATTAAAATCTGATACGTTACATTTAAAGCAGGTAAGTTTGGTTCGGAGTCCGTGACAGTTCTGGTAGAGGCCGATGATGGGGGCGGGGCAGATTACTTGAGCTGTTGATTGATGGGAGGAGGAGGGAGGCTTACATCCCCGTTTTTTGAGACGGATGGTCCAACTTTTGGCGATCCATTTTCAAACATAATCTTTAGACCAACCTCGCCATCCCTTATTCTGCGATCAAGCTCAGCGTGACAATCTCGCAACAGTTTGCGCTCAAGAACAGTTTTGTCTCTGACTAACCGAAAACCATCCAAAAATGTGGTGCCGGATTTCCTGGCTTGGTTGAACTGTGATAGGGCACTGGCCGCTGATTCGGCAGTCATGAAAATGATTTTAACAGGACGAGCAGCATTGTCGCTACGAATTTTACCAAGACGAACCAGTTTCGTATTCAAAGGAATAGTATTCCCGAGAGATTCGAGAATATCAGTTATAGCCTGCCTGTCTTGAGCAATACGTTGTGGAATGTCCGTGGAAGCAGATTCCGGAACACCATAGGCAATAAGATTGAGGCGACATCTATCACGTTCAAAAGTTTCCTGCAGTACTTGTCCAACAACCGACTGTGGTTGTACAGTATGACGGGAAGACTCAAGGCTAGATACTTTGGTTTTTAGGGTATTAATTTCATTGCGGAGCAAGGTATTTTCCGCCTTAATCTCGGACAATTGAGTGCAAAGGCTAGTTAGCCCGCACTTTAAATCATCATATTGGGATGCTTGTAGAGCTGAAGAGGCTTTACTGGAGGCTAGTATTTCAGATTTGAAGGACTTGAGAGTATTATAGACGATAATTATTAGTCTTGCAATAAATTACTCCATAATAATATATGGTACATCTCGAGTTCCCAGGCAATCCCAGCTGATAATATTGGACCAAAAAATAGGTAAGTATATTAACTACATATATAATATATAATTACATTATAAATCGAGAAATGGATTTAGGTAATCTATTCCCCGATTTATCACACAGTAATATAATTTGAATATATGTTTATATTATAATACATAAGCATTTACTTACGCGTATATTCCGTCAACAGACATTTTTTTGCGCACACTAAAAGGAGAAGCACGTGTAATCCTATATGGGCGTGAGGCCTCTCGCAAGTCTAAACCCTTCCAACGGCGTTTTAACGTAAACGTATAATCTAAACTTATACCTGCAGTATATGTATATATATATATATTGTAGTAAGCAAGTTACTACTTAACAATAAAACCAATTCCACAGGTGCATAGTTATTATATTATACGGTAGACCGGCATAGTCGGACATATAGAACGGAAATGGTTGGGGTTTCCTCCTTCAAACCTAAGGAGACAGGCTCACTGAATAGCTCAGGATGAAGGGTTCAAGAATAGGCGGATGTAATATTTACAGAAATACTGAACACGACGAAATACAAATATAAAAGAGTAAAACGATTAGTTTAATAATAATCATATTTTGGTAATGCGTCAATCGTTAATGCGTAGGCTGGAACGATGACCACACAAATTACATCCGTGACAGTCTTAATACAGTATCTTTAGGCGAGGGGAACGGGGAACCTCATATATAAGGGAGCCCGAATCGGCCTGTATTCAGACGTGTACGACCACCCATTAGTGCAAGCACCTTCACGCCACTCTGTACAACAATATTTTGAACTTACTAAAATTATCGACTGTTATAATAAAATTCATAATTATACAACAACTGTTATTATTATTCATTCATCAACCACGACTTTATTATCTGAAGAAGTGTCTGCGACCTGCAACATTAACGTACTGGTAGCCACTTGTCTACTATTATTACTACAATAGTAGGTACCTAGATACCACATACGTTACAATATATATGTACACCCATAAAGTATAAATACACAATATATATATATATAATATATAAGTATATATACAGTGAACGCTGAAGGTATTTCGTCTCGGGGAGGCCAAAGTAGCTCGGCAGTTTTATATCTATAATAATATACAGTCGGCGGAGCGTTTTATTTGTTCACTTCCGCCGTCGCGTCGTCGGTAACAAGGGGATGGAAATCTGTCTCAGGTTCGTTTACGGCGAGATTACGCGGCGGCGCTGGCGGCGGACGGATGAGCACATTGACATGATAAAACGAACCGAAATTCGATTTCCTCTCTCTTCTGCATATAGCGCAATGATGTGTGTATATATGTGTCACTGACTGTATATTTATATACGCGAAAGGGACGACGACGGTTTTTATGCGTCGTCGTCTCGTCGTCGTATACCTACCCTCTCCTCGCGAAGAAGCTCGCGCATCACCACCTCCGAACTCACCCCCGATATCGACGCTGAGAATACCGCGGCGGTCGTAGTCATACCGTCGGTGAGTGATTCGTAGCTGGCAGGTAGCTTTGGACACGGGGGACGGTAAAATTCGATATAGGTAAAAAAGATAAATTACTCACTTAACCAGACAAATATTCTTCTTTGCGTAAAAAATGATGTACTTATTTATTACCTATAACGAAGATTGAAGGTGTCACGAATCACGCGGTATATGACGACGTAGTCGTTGAAGTAAACATCGTATCTTTATTCGATTCACGAGTCATAAGTTGTGTCTTATTATACTCGACTTATTAACTATACATAATATGTATATAAGTCGTTAATATATATATATATATACTCAGTTGGTACTCAAAGTTCAGAATCTGACAGACGAGCAGCAACCGCTCTCTCTCTCTCTCTCTCTCTCTCTCTCTCTCTCTCTCTCTCTCTCTCACTATCTCTATCTGCCTCTGACTAGAAAATGAAAGTAATATAATAATATACGAAGCGGAAACGGTTGAATTTCAAGCGTGATGTCCCACTACTCATACTATGTATTTTAATATATTATACATTATTATTATGATACCAAGTGAACTTTCTCACGAAAACCGAGAGTTATGGATACTATATATACTTATATAACTTCAAAATTTGAGTAAAAGTACTTTATTTCTTCTTCCAAAATACAAAAATTACTACAAAATAAATGAATATAGTATGATGGCCATCAGGCGGCGTTGACTTACAGAAATCACCCTGTATATACAAACCATAATATAATATATTATACTACATATAGCTCGCATTATACTTCGTATATATAGAGTGTTATTACGAACTGGAGCACGACGTATTAATGTTTGTTCATTGATACGATAATGCTTTTGACAGCGTATCATTAACCTGCGGCTTCGGCATTGCCTGGGCTAGGGGTTTAAAAACATACGGCCCTACGTGTACAGAATAATAATTATTTAATATATTTTTAATAATATACATAATTTTTAAATTGATTTTTGTTGACTTGATACCAATAGCACAAACATTATTCAATATTAACGACTTGATACTTTTTGCACATAAGAGTATCAAGTCATATAATTTAACAAATTATATGCTGTTAGTGTCAAGTCAACCAAAATGACTTAACAATTATATTTAAGTATTTTGTCTTATATAAACATGTAACAAATCAAAGTTAAAAATAAAATAAAATATCATAAAATTGAGAATATAAAACGTTTTTATTGTCTACTGAACATTTACTGTTTTTGACTTGATCCCCTTTTCACAAAAACCGTCCATATATTACACACATATAATATAGCACACTCAGCCTTGCGCTGCAACCGATGGACGATGTCGGTGGTTTTTTAGTGCGTCAGAACAATATAATAATATGACGTATTATAATATGTAATGATAAAAAAAAACCAAAATAGCCAAATACTAAAATAGTAAAATTGCTAAGTACGTTATATTATAGTGACTAACGTTTAACGAAATGTAGCGCGTAACAACTTTATTTTTTTTAATGGTTTAGGTAACAATTAATTTTTTAATTGTTTCTGGTACCTATACGTTTTTTTTGTGGTCCTTTCAACGGCTGAATCATTATAAACTATATGGTTCATTATTTTATTAACAATAATATATTTTAGTAAACTTATTACATAATAGTTTTAATCAAAACCATTATAAATCCGTTTTAGTTTTCTACGTATTAACGATTTTTTCATAACAAAGTTTAACGGTTCACTTTCATACAATTTTAAAAGTTTAAAAGTTTTAAAAGTATTTTATACTCGTGAACTGATAGCGGTATTCACGCATAAAATCAAGTAAATTATACTCTTTCAAGCGAGTTATTTAATGGATGAATAAAACAACTTCTTCATTTACATATACCAAACCATTGTATATTGCTTCATAGATAATGTTCATATTAACCCTGACCCAATCTCGTTGTTACCTGTTCTAGAATTGAGGGGGGATGGTGGCTTGCGGATTTCCATTTCTAACTAGAAAATGTTTATGCTTACCTCTTCCTAATCAATTAATCAACAAAAAAATTAAATATTCTTCAGGATAGTGTTTTTCAACACTTTACTTCCCTCGTCAAATGTTTTCCGAATTCAAGCACTGGTTGTAACGGATTCGATGAACGTTTCACTCAAGGTGGTGTAACGGGGTTGGGGAACCTGTTATATTTAAATAATTCAGTGAGGGTTTTCAGAGCCCTATGAATTATATTTTTACCGTAACTCCGGAGCGGACACGGACGTTTTGGCGCCGCCGTTTGGGCGCTGCCATTTTGGCCCTGCCGTTTTGGCGCCAACTAATATTTCCATATAATATTTAAAATTACAATTTTGTTAAATATTACAATTTATTTGAAATTAAAATATAGTAAATAGTTAGTTAAAATATGAATTTTTATATATTTTAATAATTTATAAATATAAATGATTGGCATATAATCCAAGACGAAAAAATGTCAATAGACAATAAAGATCGCACGTTATCTATGGTGACTGTAATAAAGTAAAACGATAAAAGCAAATCATGCTGTTCACATGCAAAACCATTAGATCATATATTGCATAGAATCTACAACGTCGATTAGAAAAGAAAGGTCGCGCGTTAACTATATATGATGATAAAAATAATATAACAATAAAAGTAAAATTTGGTGTTCACCTGATAGTTCGGTGTCATTTTTGTCTAATACAGTATACAAGCACGCGTTTAGTGAAGTGTTAATAAAGTTTATACACAGCTAAATACAAAACAAATTTAAAAATGGAGAAAATTCAATCGAAACGTGATCGAGAAATGCTTGTAAATGACGGTTATATGTATATTTTTGATAAATTTAGTGCCGACAAACAAAAAAAGTTTTGGAGATGTGGTCAAAAGAATGATTGTTTGGCAAGAATTCATACAAGTATTGACAACTTAACGATTTTAAAAAAATCTAAAAATTTACACACGCATGGTTCTGATGCTGCTAAAGTTGAAACACAAATTGCTATTACCAATATTAAAAAACGGGCATTGTCTACGATGGAACAAACATCATGAGATATCAATGAATGTACATCAAGTCTATCACAAGTGGCAAAGGTACTAAAAAAAAATTATACAATATTACTAAATATGTTGATTCTTTTATCATAAAATACTCGTTATTTCGTCAATTATTGACTTTTTTCTTATTCAAAATATTTTTGATTTGTTGTATAAAACTTCCGTTACTTGAATGGTTCGAAGAATATTATATAGGAAGAAAAAATAGAAGAAAAGTGGGTCGTCGATCACCACAATTTCCTCCATAAATATGGAATTTATATCAAAGGGTGTTAACAAACCAAAACCGCACAAATAATCACGCTGAAGCTGCTAATAGGCGTTTAAATCTTCAAATGGGGGTTACTAATCCAACAATATGGTCATTTATAAATTGGCTTAAAAAATCCAAACAGGAAGAGACGTTTTTTTATGAACAATTAGTTACTGGTGGAAGTCCACGAAACCCCACAAAAGTACAGCGAACAACTCTGCAGTGAAAACGTTTTCCATGGCATTTTTATATTGTCACAAACGGTATCCAAATTTATAAAAGGTTCGATTTGTATTTTCCTTGAAATTAAAAATGGCATTATATTTTAGCTGGGTTTTATTCTACTGCGTTATACTTACGTCGATCGATTTCAAGTGTTTCAACTATGGGAATAACCGTTGCTAGCTGTTTAGGCATGGTCGTAATAGGTAACAACTAACAACAACAATTTCGAGTTCATGCTTAAAAAATAAATATGGAAGTTGTGTTTAGCGAGCACTACTAAAATGTTGTAAAACAAAATTTAGAGTGTGAATACATTTTTCAGTTTAACTTGGTTGTGTGCTTGTACACATCATAGGCATGCGGACAAGAGTACTTTAAAGTTAAAACTAATATTATATAATACACTAAAAAATAATAATTTTGCTATTTTACTTTACATTTTAAAAGAAAATTAAGAATTAGTTATTTGTTCTCATTGAATATTATATACCCTACCTATGTTGAATAATAATTTTAGTTATGATGTTTTTAATTCAGCGGAAACGAATAGAGACCATAATTTATGTACCTATAAAATAATATGACCACCGTAGCCGCTCGTATTGATTGTAACTATAAATTCCAATTTCGTGGGTAGAAAAAATAATAGTTAAAAGATAATAATAAGAGTTTTTTTAGAGTTGATAAAAACGGCATTTAAATCTCTTATACAATACATTTTATCTTTGACATACTACATTAGGATCGTTTAATTGTTTAATTTACATATTAAACATAATATAATGTAAGCCTTCATAATATAGTCGGAAAAACCATAACCGGCTTAATACCTACTATATGTAACATTTGTGTTATGTTTTAAGAACTGTATAACTGTATTTAGTTAATTGAAAACAATAAGTCTGTATTTTGATTAGAAACGTACAATGCCAGATTAAAATATTCGAATCAAATAAAATAATTTACTCTATTTCGGATGTCTAGAACGGATTATTCTGATTAATGGAGCCTTAATGCTTTGGTCTTATAAAATTGGTTATGTCGTGTTCGACATTTGAACGCGACGAAACATATACCAATATTTTATTCATTACCTATATAGGTACACCATATTGATAAACGATTACGATATTAGCCAACATGTGTATCGTTCTATTTTGTCAAAACCGCTTAGGTATATATTATACGGTTATCATCGACCGTGACGTAGAAAAAAAAAATCGTACAAAACAGCTGTTAGAATATAGAATAACCCGATAACCTAACCACAACCTAGGTTTACGGAAGCGGTCACTACCACCAGTGGGATTTGTTTGCAAGACGATCATAATGATATAAAATATAAAATACCTTTGTTTCTCGCGATTAAAGTCGTTGTACCTGATGCGTTCTCTCGTTAATATATATATTAAATAATATTTTATTGACTACAAAATATGACACTATGTGACGATAATATAAATATTAAAAAAAAAAGTGGCCAAGTAAAATATAAGTATATAGTCTCTAAAAATATTAATGTTTCAAAGTATCATTTGAATTTATCGAGTAAATTGCGATGAAATTGATTTATGAAAACACTATTTGTTAGTCAATGCAAAGAGTAAAATACATAATTGACTAGAAAAATGTATTTAAATTTAACAATCACATGGCAAGATACTCGATAAATCTAAATAGATAATTATTAAATATATATTAATAATAATATTCTTAATTTACGGAGATAATTTATAATTTTATTTAGTATAAATAAATAATAATAAATAACATATTTATGGGCAATACCCCAGTACCTACTTGGTTTCACAAATCCAAAACTGAATTACGAACGTATAATATGTATAATACTATCATGATACAGTATAAGCTTTTAAAATATTTCATTACTGAGGCTGGCAAAGACGTGACCTTAGGGAAGCCATATTAAAAGGTGCCAAATGTATATAAATATGTACAGAACAACCTAACCTAACCTATTCAGTGAGACTTGCCAAGGTCTCTTCAGATGAAGTAGGGGCAGCTAGAATTTTTTCAACCACAGCGCTAGCCAACCACGCCCTGCTACCAAAATATCTACGCTGTCGAGCTCTTGCGAAAAGTTGACCCGAAAACTCGCACCGTACAACGGTTGTTACCACTTATAAATTATAATATTAATAAATAAAAAAGGAATAATGATATTATGTGTGAATTGTTGCAAATAATGATAATAATAATGCAATACAAATTAATATTGATAAGGACGTCTCCCATTATTAATTCTAATAGGTATATGGGGCTATACGACCGTATACCAAGCTGTTTATTTAGAGAGTATACGCCGTATACCCCCGTATACCCCAAAATACCCCACTGACTGTATACTGTAATAAATTGATAATTCGATACCCGGATTATTAAGGTCATGCAACGGAAGCACTTTTAGTTTTATTCACTGTTGACATTTTATAAATTAACACCGATATTCAAATGCCGACATCTCCTTCAATTATTAACACATTAATGTAAACGAACCGTCAAAATTCATTAAAAATTAAACTGTGCACGAATAATATTTCAAAAATATAGGTTCCCATTTGAATTTTAAAAGTTGATTCTCAAACCTCCCCATCCTAATTATCAAAGAAAATATTTAATATCAAATTAATTTAGATTATATGATTCAAATCGGTTTTCACATAGGTCATTTTCCCCTAATTTAAATATATCATGTTGAAATCGACTGTCACATGATGTGCGCATATACATATATTTCACCCAAATACCGAACGATGCGAAGTTGTAATACAAAAAAGGTGAATATGTATGAACAATAGTGATGCGCAAACGACAACCGGTGATTTAATATATGATAATATAGCAAACACATTTTTCATTATAATACCTATGATTTATAATAATATAATCACGACTACTCACGTCGGAAAAATGTATTTTTTTACTAATAAGTCTTTGTAACTAATATTAATAGTAATAATCATAGGTACTTGTATAAGTAAATAATAAATTAATACATTTTCCATAATGAGTTCTAATGAACAATCTATAATTGCGGCGCTATATTATTTACTATGTAGGTTGTAGGAGTTAGTAGTTTTTTAAGACTCCAAAAACTACCCACAACCTGAGTTGAGCACTCAAGTTGTGACCTACGAGACGCACTTCGTGACAACCCTGGGATTGATTTCGATGGAGCTGGTAGGCTTTGAGTACACACATCAGTAAATGAACACTGAAGAGTTAAATTAAAATAAAATATTAAAAAGATAGAGAATTAAGGTTATAATGTGGTTTATATTTTACATTAACAATAGTTTGCAAAAATTAATGATTTAAGTGTTGATTAATAATTTTGAACAGTCACATTAATGATAATAATGTGGCAATTTTATAAGACATAAAAATATTTTTTTAGCTTCACACAGATTAAAAATAAACTTATGAATTTAAATAATATACTAATTTGGCGTTCACACAGGTGAATAATAAAGTTTTTTGTGACACATGGCAAATGCATAGAATATAATAGTTAAAACTTTTATGAGATATTTATTTTTAAAGCATATTCGATCATTTTTAAGGGCATAAATTCATAAATACTTAAAGCTTTTTTAGAACATGAATCATATATAATATATTCAAAAATGTGTTCGCACCCAAGCTATTTATTATAATATATTAAATCACTGGTGGTCGTTTGAGCATCACCATTTATTGTTGAATTTCACCAAAAGTAAAGTTAGTGAAAATCCATATTTTACACTCTCATTGATGAACTTAATTCAACGATAAAAATATAATATATTATTGGTATTTTAAATAATTGCAGTTTCGCAAATGACAAAAATATATAGGTCATTATAGGTACACAAGTTGATAGACGTCACAGCATAGGACTTCAGCGGCTACAATATAATATAGATTAATGAGTAATGACACATCGCCGAGGACAATAGAGAGGACTGTTATAATATTATTATAATGAATATATAGTATATAATATGATGATACATTGGTACCATATGTGTTTGCAATATTTTATTACTGAGACGGCCAAAGGTGAGCCATATTAAAAAGCATAGAATTAGTACATTATAGTAATATATTATATTATTCAATTATGATTGCTTGCATGAATTTGTAGAAGTCATTGTGCGTGACAATGCAGTTGTAGATATTACCAACGACCTTTGTTTCTCGCGATTAAAGTCGTTGTACCTGATGCGTCCTCTCGTTAAAATATTTATTAAATAATATTTTATTGACTACAAAATATGACACTATGTGACGATAATATAAATGATAAAAAAAAAGTGGCCAAGTAAAATATAAGTACATAGTCGCTAAAAATATTAATGTTTCAAAGTATCATTTGAATTTATCAAGTAAATTGCGATGAAATTAATTTATGAAAACACTATTTGTTAGTCAATGCATCGAGTAAAATACATAATTGATTAGACAAATTTATTTAAATTTAACAATCACATGGCAAGATACTCGATAAATCTAA